ATTTGTTTTAAAATTTTACAATTTATTGTGAGTATAGGCTTCCAGCACAATATTTATATCAGATATTGGTTTTATAAATTGACTTGCAAATAATTTAATAAACCAATGAGTTTTGCAATATCGCAAGATGGTTTACAAAAATTAGCAATTAAAATGAAAGCCCACTATACAGAAATCTATAAATTTCTTTAAATTTCTTATGTTTTTACAAATTGCCATCTGAAATAATATTCTTGAAGATTCCCATCGAATACTAATTTTCAGTATAACATCAATTAACAATAAATTTTTTTTGTTTTTTTTAAAACAATAGTATAAACGAAGGAATTTATTATACTCTGTTTATTTTCAATCTTCAAGCTATTTTTTGATTTCTACAGATTTATAGAATTCGCAAACAGTCTTAAATATTTGAATTAGCTAGGTTGTTATATAGATATCTTTGCTCAAGGTTCAAAAAGGCATAGATAATATTAAACTTTAAAAGCATAGCTGCGCTTGATCATATTATTAGAAATCTACTAAGTTTTAGTCGACTAAGTCGACTAAAATCAATTATTCGACTAAATTTTATTAGTCGATTATCGTGGTTTTCGAAATGGTTGACACTAAAATATTTTGTATACTCACTGTATACTGATATAGAATTATCTAACCCTAAAAAATTTTTTTGTATACTTTAAAAATACAACTAATATATTTAAAGTATACAAAAAATTTTTTTAGGGTTAGATGATTTTATATCAGTATATAGTGAGTATACAAAATATTTTAGTGTCAACCATTTCGAAAACCGTGATAAAAATAAGCTAAAAATAGAAATAATAATCATCCGAAATGTTCTGAGATTAATTATAAATTAAAAACATAGTTGAGAACAAATTTATTGAAATATTGAAATTATGCTTATAATAAACACATTGACTAATAGTTGACTAATAAATTGTAGCTATTGGGTCATGTTGTTATTGACAATCGCTGATTTATTCACAGCGGATGCTATCATAACGGTGGCCAAGGGCCACCGTTATATCTCAGCATCCTTAATCAGTTATCATTAACAACAGATCAATAACAAGTAATTATTATATTTACTTATATATTATACGACAAGTTGAGAATTTTAAGTAATTAGTAACTTTAAGTAAAAAATATACACCCAGAATATTAGCAAATAAGATTGTGCTAGATATCATCGTAACAACAGAGCAGCTTACTTACCGTCTGTTAAATAGGAAAATGGCAGAATCAAAAAACTATAGCAATGAGAAGGTTAGATCGAGAAATGAAATGGGATGTATGATGATGAAAAGAATGTAGAAGTTGGAAATTAACGCTGGTAGATTTATTCAATACATAGTAAAATTTAGCGTTAAGGCTTCATAAAAGTAAAGCTTACCTTTTTTCGGGAACTCTGTGATCATTACATCACGTGAAATCATGAAATTATATCATTTGAACAAATCAGCCTGAACTATACTATCAATTCAAACCCTAACCCTACTTAGGCTGAGTGCTTAATCATGTGAAATAATGATCACGAGTGTTAAAGAAACATTACAGATCTATATAGTGTAATTTTAGTGCAATTCTCTAAATCTTATCGATTTCATTTTATGGCAAAACAGCTAGAGCTTTATTTTGTAGCCTTTACACACCTATTTGTTAATTTGAGGTGTTATATTAGTGGTCGATATTTTTATACATTTCAGGTATTTCAAATTTTTTTACCAATTAAATGAGTTAATTTCTTGCCTTATTTTTTATTTAATTCGTTTTACTCCTAATTAGCTATTTTATATTGTCTTTTATTATGATACATTCTATAGTATATTATTTATTCATTGTTTTATTTATCACTAGTACAATACGGTGACTAGTATATGTAATTAAGGTTTTGTCATTGTTCTATAAAAAATTCTGTGTAATTACAATATGTAGATAAGTTTAAGTTAGTTTAAATTAGAATTAATATAATTTTTATCATGAGTTACTGACATTTCTGTAACTACAATAGGTGGCTAAGTTAGTTTATATTGGATTATCATGATCTCTAATGTGAATTATCGTAAACAATTTTATGCAAAACTGATTTGCTATTCTAATAACTACAGTATGTAGTTAAAAATCTATTAATTTGGATTGAAAATATCATTATTTTTTATCATAAATTACAGTAAAAAATTCTGTTACAAAACTTACTCACCATTCTAGTTACATTGATATTGTTATGATTTCTATCAGTTACTGGTAAATAATTATGTTGCGGAACTTACTTGCTATTCTGGTAATTGCAATAAGGTATGTTAGTTTGCATTGAAATTAATTTGATTTATCTGTGAGTTGCTGAAAATTCTGTTACATGACATACTCACTGCTTGTTTAAATAAGTTTACATTAGAATTATTATGATTTTTACTTAACCAAAATTTTGCTATAGAATTTATTTACCATAATTTAACCTCTAGAAAAGTGCGCCTAAAAAATGTTTGAGAGCGCCTTTAAGCTAGAAGGTATATTAAAAGATTATAATTCATGCAGCAATCTTAATGAAATCTAATTCAATAATATATAACTAAGAACAATAAGTATAAATCACGTGCTATTGTAACTATTGCCGATTGGCCGGAATATAATCACCAGATAACGATAAATCAAGATGTTCACATACAGACGTGCACATATTAACAATTAGGCTAAAATAAATATTTGGCAAATATTACCAAAACACAAGCTGGTGTTCAACTGATCAATGAAAGTTATTTATATCAAGTAAATTATTTCCTAGAAGGGAAACCCGAATGATATGCATTTTGCCGATCTATGTAAGCACTGTCGCGATGTACGTACTGTAACTAAAAAAAAGTGTATTAACGCATTTCAAAGAAAGTGATGTGTTTAATGTGTTCAGGATTATATTAACTTATACTAGCTTATAATAAAAAATTCAAGGATAAACATTGATGTTTTTATGTTTTGTGAAAAACAGAGAATTAAGGTCTCGAACCATTTTACATCCTCTTCCAATATCGAACTGATGGTTTAAAATCATTCACCTTATATAATTTATCAGTAAATGTGCCTTACGTAAGTATATAAAAATTAAGAAAGTATTTAAAGAGAACATTAATAACAAACTTTCTCAATATTACATAATTTTATTTTTTCTAATATTTTATAATAAAGTGTTCAGTAATTTAGTTAATAAAACTAAAACAATAATTTATAAATTACGCCTATTGGCGTTAATGCCTCAAAAAAAAAAAATTCAAATAAAAATAAAAAATAATTAATTAATAAATAATAATAACAAAAAAAAAAAAAATCAAAATGATACCATGGCGGCGCTTTGAAATAATGCGGTTTGATATGACTAAATAGTCCATTGATATTACTTTATATAAACTTATGGATTCAGAAAATTGACCCTTGTGAGAATAACTTGATGGGCGTATCGAAATTACGCCAATCCACGAAATATGGTATATGGAATGGCAGATTTTTATCTCTTAAATTCGATTATTCATATGATTAAAGCTGGATAAGTTCCAGTTCAACAAAGCAAAGTGCATATTTATTATTAAAGTTAGGAAAGAAAAAAAGAAAAAAAGAAAAGAAAAAAAATGGAAAAGCGTTCATCCGTTACCAAAGTGGCATTCTAATCATTGACGAGGAATAAAAGTACGTAATTATTTTACAGATTTAGGCTTATCTAGGTCAAGTATTGATTGAAAATGTTACTTGATTATCATTGCTTTTTCAATTGACTGAAAATACATACTGCAGTTTGAAATTATAAAAAAAAAAAATGGTATCGTATGATTCTTAGTGCAGAATCTGCTTATTCCGGCACAGGAATTTAGAAACCACGGCTGGAGGTAGTGCTGTAATTTTTAATGGCATTGCTGTAACACTTCTATTCATATGATTCTATTATTTAACAATTATAAGAGATCGAATCGTCAGCTATCGTATGATGTGGTTCGAAGGAAATGATCGTCCTTTGATCGGTTAATAATTATTAGTTAAGATCTTCGAAAACTTGACGATAAGGCATACGTATAATATGAAAAGTAAATAAATAATGACAAACATAGATTTGTTGAAATTTACCTGAAAATATGATTTGCGTAGTTAGTTACATGTAAATTATATATAACTTACATGTCAGATTATAATGAAATAATAATACTGCTACAAAAGCTAATAAAGTTATATTAATTACCGAACTATATACTTTTTGAAATTAATGATGATACAAATAAGTAGAATTGAGTCAATCTCGATGTATACAATATAGTAGTAGTGACATCAACCACTGATTTTTATTAATCATACGTAGGTCAATTTTTAATATAATTATCAAATTATTATAATTCAAATTCGCAAAAAAAAAAAATTAGTTATTTTCGTAAAGAAAAATTTTTCTTAGTTCTTATACAATATTTAACATTACTTTTATTATTATAAAAAACATACAGTCAATTTTTTCTATAAAGAACTGACAGTTCGAAAAGAAAAAAGCCATTATATAATATTATTATGTTTTATTAAAAGCTCATAGCGTTTTTTATAAAGAACGATTATATAATTTAAAAATAATTAGGCTCAATGTTCGTTGTAAAAAAGTTCATTGAATCAAATTATTAAGTTCGTTAACTAGTTTTTTTCATTAAATAAAATAAAATATATAAATCTGTCAAGTAATTTGGTTTTTCTTTAAAAAAAAAGAACACTAAAGATCTTTATGAATGTTATAACTAATCCAGATATTAAGGCTCGGATCTCAATCTCCTGTTTCCTAGTAGTTAAGAAGTCCGTCTGCACAGCTAACTCTACAAGCACTAATTTCGTTAAAAATTGCATATGTAAAAAGTAAAATTTAAAGTTTTTATAATTTTAGATGAAAGTAAAAACTAAATATGGAAACTGTTCTTATGGGTAGTTGACTACAATCTACATGTTTAATAATTTTTTTAGCCTATAATTTATGTCACTTTTTAATGGGGTTTTTTTTCAGCACAACAAAAACAGGGAAGGTTAGTAATGCAGGAATTATTCAATTTAGCTCCCCACAATGTTTTAATACCAATTGAAGAAGATTCATTCGGTCGACTTTGAACAATATTTTTGTATCTATCGCCATCTTTGACAGTACGTTCAACTAAAGCTTTATGTTGATTCGTGTCAAACTTACTCAACATATCCCTGGCAGTAATGCACGGCCCAATTAAAGACTCTAGATTATACGTTTTGATGAGCGTATTGATTTCATTCAGAACAGATGAATCTTTAAGAAGCTTTTCATATATTCGCTTCACGTATGGGTCTGTCGAATATTCAAACACTAAAAGTTTTCCATTATTTAAAATCCAACTTGCTGGATATGAATTATTTGGTAAATCAGCTGATGTAATGAATGCAGGTTCTCCTTCATACTCAGCGAACGTTTCTACCATCGCTTGTCCATCTTCCAAAGGTATTTCATGGCTATGAAGTAATCGAAGCCCTAATTCAATGCCTTCTTTTCCAGTTAATTGTTCAACTTTGGCTAATAGTTCCTTAAATTCGAGTTTTCTAAGCTCTAATTCGTCGTTCGCAGTTTTTGGGGGCGGTAAGCCATTATATTTTTTAATGTCAAATTCGTTCAGGCTTGTCATTTTGAATAATTGACAATTTTTTTTAATTCTTTTATATGGCGAGCTCACATTAGAAGAAAAGAAAAAAGCTGAAAATTCGCTTTTGTGATAAATTTATATATTTTTCGATCTAGTATTACTGTATTTAATGATATATAGCAATGATCTATTACAGTATTAATCGATAAGATCTATGTGAAATTATCCAATCATACCAAAAATGTATTAATTGTGTTGTGCCACAAGTTTGTTATTGAAATTTCCGCATACGTTAACATGAAAGATTAGATTGTGGAACTGTGGGGTAGATTAATTTTTTTTTTTTTGTCCTTTGGGAAAATCGAAGTTTAGAAGCTCTATATTGATTCTAAGCAATCTAATTCTTAATTTATAAATAAAATTTTTACAGGCGAAAAATACCAGTTATATAGTACTGGATTTATTGCAACATTTATGAACAGATGCCTATAAATATTGTACAAGATTTATGTCAGCTCGAACAAGTGATGAAAAAATGGTAAATGTTCTCATTTATTGCATATCGAATTGTAAAAAATTTATTGCTCTCCTCATTGATATAACTTTATATACCGGTAGAAATTTTTTTAATGATAGTTTATATCACGTTTTCGTGTATAATTTATTTTAATGTGTATGTACGTACTGTACGTACTGTCGTACGTAAGTACACACGTAAGAAAGATTAAAAAAACCTGTTTAACAGATCAGGTCATTTGATGAGTCAGCAAGAATAGTAACATATGAAGATGTTACCTAAAGCTCAAATTGATGTAACAATTCTTAATAAATTACATCATAGACTTTGAGCTGCGTACATATATGTAATTTTGAAATTTACTTCTTTCTAAAAAATAATTTGCCTGAATTATGTCCTTACTGATCAAAACTATCTTATTAAATCGGAAGGTATGATTAACAAGTTTTTTTTTTCTTAACGTTATCAATGCTCTAAATACGCAACGATTAAAAGCTACCGTTAGTATTAACAATTATTAAATTACTATCATAGCCCAATAAACTACATAATCATATAACTAACCTTTACTAATTGCTCATGGTATGTCTAATAAATTTCATTAACAATTTTACTATTTTTTTTAAAAAATATATATATATAATAATTGTTTCTTTGCTTCTTATAAATAGGAAAAATGATCCTCGCGTAGATATCTATTTGTTGCTTTAGAGAAAAATTTTATCCATCTATTTAAAGATCTTGTTGAAAAATACTGGTGATCTCTGTTTAAATTAAGGCATAATTTTAACAGTTGTATGATATATATTATTACTACTGTTTTCATAAATTCTGAGAACTTGTTCGTTTCCCGAAACATCTTCATCTTGTCCTAAGAATTACCTAACTTTTCGGAACCTACTTCACTGTCTTTGGAATTTCGATACTGAGACAGCGGCGTAGTTTACGAAAAGCTGGTGATTCTTAAAACGAGATCGAAGAAGTTTCGTGAAATGAGCAGTAATAATTATCAGAATTCCTGGGATACCTGAGTCCGGGAGCGCATAATTTTTATATACCGGTATCGATTAATGGCCTCAGCCCCAGTCATGTATGCTGCAGATCAAAATTTTCAGAAACTACGTTTTTTCATTCATCAAAGCGCATAGAAATATGAGTCCTCCGCTTCGTTTCGGACAATAAAAGCTATTTTTTCATTATATTGATTATTTTAGGATTGTTATACCAATAATGTCAACGATATTGAATTTCGTTCGAATGCTTGCCCAACATGTTTGGTTTGTCTAATTTGTACGTACAGTACGTACGTACGAAAAGTTTGATTTGGGTAATCCCTTTAATTTGGCACTGAGGGATGACCAAACATTAAACGTGACAAATAATATCTACTATAGTAATACTTATTTGTCACATAAATCCCCAGTGCCAAATGAAAGAGCCTCTAATAGTTTAGTCCATGCCTTATAAACTTTTCTTCAATTATTTGACAGAGAAGATGCTTTGAAAATAGTATTCAACCAGAGTACTGTATGCATATCAACATGTAGTCTTATTATATTTATATTTGTTACTTTGTAGTAAAGGTGAAGATTCAAACTATATTTTGTAACGAACACAATCTATAGGGTTGATGAAGGCCGATCTTTTTGACCGGTTACGTGGTCTTCAGTTTTCAGTCTTTCAACAAGTTCAGACCGGTTGATAATAAACTATTACGGCTGTTTTTGTTATTTTTGGACATTTGAAAAATTGATGATGATCGAATCGATAAGTTTTTGATGTCGGCCGACGTCTGTAGCTTATTGATTCCGACTCGGTAACTTATCGATTCGGCTGTCAAAAATTTTTAAGATGTCCAAAAAATAATGAAGACAGTTGTAAAATAACTTTTAAATAAACTTTTTAATAGTTAAAACCATTATTGCATGAATTTTATTTCGATAATTCGATAACGATAGCTAAATGACAAACTACTTACTGAAGATAATTAATCTTTGAGACCAGGGACATACTATTCGGGCCGGTCTTATTAGAGACCAGGACAGGCCGGACGACCAAAAAAACCCTAACAATCTATTTAACATATTAGGGAACACCCCGATAATAAGTTTTTCCTTTGAGACACTCATATCAATCTATTGAATCTATTAATCCCGAAATCACCGCCAATTTTTATCAGGCGCTCCAGGAATTATGATAATAGCTGTAACAATTTTTGATTTTTTAATTTAAAGTAAGTTATAAACATGTAACTTACATGTAAGAATATAAGTTAAATAATATAAATATAAATAGGATCTTTCTAGTAAAATGACTCTCTAGAGCTATATAGATTTTATAAATAAAAATTAAATTTATTACTTTCGATAATTTAATTAAAAAAAAAGTTTTGGTTTTTATTTTCTAGAGCTTAATGGCTTTACAATCTGCGTAGTCCTAATGAATCATATTTTTTATTGCAAATTTAGGATAAAACTTATGTAAATTACATGTAAGATAAGTGTGTAAGTTACAACCTTACAACTCTAAGTATTTATTTAAAATACATGGATAATTTTGAAGGTTTGTTATTAACGGTAATAATTTATTTGTGATAAATTTTACTTTAGTTAAGATTGAATAACTTCAGACACATTTTTGTTTAGGAATCACCTAGTTTAAATTTAGATTATAGTTAGGGTGAGAATGTTGATATAGTTTAGGCCAATTAATTAATACAGGCCAAATAGTTAATATTAAAGGTGCCTTAGTTATTAAGTTGACATTTGAAGTACAAAATATTTCAAGAATAGAGTACAAAATATGTAAAGTATGGTTTACTAGTAATTCTACATTTATATGCTTTTTTGTAGGTATATTGATGCATGTGTTAACTTGCTCAATGATGCATTAAAAAATGTAAGCATGATTAAAAAATCATTTCTACAGAATTTTTGCTTCTACCTGTTTTATTCTTGATTTTACCTGTATTATCAATTTGTGTACTATATCATATAATTTTTTATTGAGCATATTGTGTGGATTTTTATTTTTGTTGAAACTTTATTCTATAGCATTGTAATGATGAATTTTCTTGTCTGTTATCAAATTAAACTAAATATATGAACATAATACAATAAATTGTAATTATACTAAGTTACAGCCAAAATGCCAAAACTCATAAATTACAAGTTATAGAAGTTATAGCATTATGTCTGTATATAGTTGTTAGACAAACTCATTTTTTTGTTTGATGTCGAAAGTTGAAACTATAGCCCTAAATGACAAAACCTCTGTCAAAAGTCGAAACCTCAAATTCTTCTAACTAAAGTCGAAAGCCTCAAATCCTTCTGACGAAAGTTGAAACCAAAACTTAACTTGACAAAACCCTAGTACTCCTGCTAAAAAAAAAGTAAAAATTATTAAAAAAATTTGTTATTACCGAAACTCTTAACAAATTCTGGTGCTCCTGCTGAAAAAAATCAATGAAAATCTATTGAGGCTTTCTTTTTATTTATATTTAACGCTAAAGCTGTTTATTGGCTTGACGTGGCTTATATATTTAGTTTTTAAAAACAGAAATTATAAATGGATAAATAAGCCATTAACATCTCTCGAATATGGTATTTTACTTTTTTTTTTTATTTACAAATTTTGTTTTTTTATTCAATATTAAAATATTTTAAATTTTTAAATTTTAATTTGTACGTATAATCTAAAATATAAAGCAGTAAGAATGTTTTTGCTGATCTGTAAATTTTTAGAAAATAGATAGCAAATAACATATTATAATTCATGTTTCTTATTAACTTCCTGATAGGCACTTTTTATTGAGATCCGATCAATTTACTGACAATCATCCCATAGACACCACATTTCACCACTGGCTCACATAGCGCTTCCGATTTACAGGGAAATACAAGCAAAATTCCCAGAAAATCATTTTACTAATAAATCTATTTATACCAAGAAATTATCCAAAACAAAACAAATAGATCGCCTGGTGCGATACAAACATAAAACCAGAAAAATTAAGTGTTAAAAATAACACGTCGCGATAAGAAAAATCGCATAATGCTAAGAAAACAAAGAAATTACAATTACTCATCGTTTGCATTA